TTTTCCCTGTCCCATCACAAAACACACACACACACACACACACACACACTTTTACACACATATGCATATCACCTATGTGGATTTATTGTGATTCCTGCCTTTCTGTTTCTATTGTTATTTATGACATGTATGCTTTCTAAAGAGAGCAGGGAAGTAGTGCCTTTCCCTTCTTTATAAGCATGAAGAATATACACTCCTTGTACTGTTTTAAAAAGCATACTTATGCACTGTTATAGTTTAAATCTAAAGTATTTCCCCCAATTTTCATGTGTGTGGAAAGTGATTGGATCATGGGGGCGCTATACTTATCAATGGATTAATTCATCCACAGGTTCAGAAATGAATATGCTTTTGAGGGCAGGGCCTGGATAGAAGGCTTGGGTCACAGTGGATGTGTTCCGGAATGGTGCACCATCCTGGGGTCCTCCCTCCTCTCTGCTTGCTGGTTTCCAAGGGCTAAGCACGTTTTCCTCTGTCTTGCCCCTCAGCTACCCTATTTGTTGTCTTGGAGTCTGTGGATCAGGGATGAAACTTCTGAAACTGTGAGTAAAAATAAACCTCTTCTTTAAATTGTGGATGTCAGGTATTACATTTCAGTGACAGTAAAGTGACTAAGACACACACTGCTAGTATTTTCTGAATTGTGTTTAACACTACCATTTGCTTCACAGTCGCCATACAGCATATTTAATAGGTGGCAATGTCTGGCACAATCACTATTGAGTCATCAGGCTCTGAAGGGGTATGAAATTTTGGTAAAGAAAAAGCTGGATCCAGGCTTCCATTTTCCACTTTTGTCATAATCATGGCTTTTTAAAAGATATAAACAACTCAAAATGTGAGTTGCCTTATATTTTGTATTCACCAAGATGGAACATAATGGCTAGCTACATGTAAATATATACTGTTAGAATATTTTTTCCTAAAATAATTACTACCATGCAGCACATCTACCATTTAGCTTCATGTTGGAGAAACCTGTATAATGGCTTGAAAAGGTTTATAGTCACTCTTAAATATTTTTGGTCATGCTGCTTTTTAATACAATTTTGAAAATACAGAGCATGACAGATTTCCTGCTTATGTGTGATATAAAACAAAGAAACAGCCTTTCTATGATTGATGAACAAGAAGGATTTAAGATAGTTAAACTGAAGGTAATATAGACAGAAAGCCCAGAGACTAGGTTAAAAAAAAGTCCACATTATTCATATCTTGCTTATAATTAGATAATATAGTGTAATACGTTCAAAACATATTACTCAGATTTGTGGTAAAATAGAGAAAATAAATAACATTTATTCACCCTGTTCCTCTTAGATTAAAAGGCAGTGCTATATATTATTTTTTATGCCCAGAGATAAACATAGCACTTGCGACTATAATTACCTCTACTTCTGTCAAGCTCATCTCGCTCCAGGTTCTGTGGTAGGTGCATGCCAAACTACTTCAATCCTCATATGACCTTAGTGGAAACAATAAAATGTTGTCCCTTTTCTCTTTTAAATGGGAAAAGAACATTTAATAAATAAATCTTAAGACATCATTTCATTAATAGAAATATATATTTTTTTATTTTTCCCATACTGGGGATGGATCTTGTACAAGCTAAATAAGAACTTTACTACTTAAATACATGCCCAGTTCTTTGTTAAATTTTATTCTAAGATGCCCCATTTAGTTTCACACACCCACATATTCTACACACAGGGCTGTGAGTCTAGGTAGGTAATGTGATAGGCTAGAAAACAAGATCCTTATGGGGGCTTGTGGATAGATGAAATTATATTTAATTTAAGAAGTAAATGTACCATCTATTTCAACATTTCACATATTTGAGTAGTGTACTCTATACAGGTTAATAGCATTTTATGCATTTGTCATGCCATTAGATGAATTAAATTCTTTCCATCATAAGAAAAAAAATTAGAACATCTTTAGAACATTGAGAATTTTGTTCTGTTAAGAAATCGTGGGGTCGGGGATTTAGCTCAGTGGTTCAGTGGCCTGCCTTGCAAGCTCAAGGACCCAAGTTCAATCCCCAGTACCAAAAAAAAAAAAAAAAAAAAAAATGCCTTGCAAGCTCAAGGACCCAAGTTCAATCCCCAGTAGTAAAAAAAAAAAAAAAAAAAAAAGAAATTGTTAAGTTTTTGGTATTAAATTGATACTGCAATAATGTTCTGCAAGTTATTATTTTGTAAGTATGCATAATGAATAATTGATGGATTCAATGGTGTGAGGTTAGAATTTTGCATCAAAAATATATTTGAGAGCGGATAATAAATGAGTATAGGAAAAAATATTTGCAATATGTTGATGATCTTTGAAATTAGATGATGAGAATTTTGGAATTCATAATACAGTCCTCTGTAGGTTGCAGGTATTTGAACATTTTGATGACAAAAAGGTTTAAAAATATAAATATAATTTGTATGTTTCATAGTTTTTCCATTCACAATATAGATTTATTTTATTTAATCATTTATAGTTTGAGGACATTTTGGAGTTTAGATAACATTTATTTGCATGTAAAATTACATCATATTTATGCTTTTTCTTAAGAGTTATTTTGTGATATGATATTACTGTACAAATAAATATCATTACTTAAAAGTGATGTAACAACTTCACCCAGCTGTGCTGGATATATTTGCCAAGCTTATGAGCATGCCAGAACCACTTCATAACAGTAGCATTGCTCATAGTCATTTGTAAATGTTTCTAGATGTTATATATTTTTTTCAAAAATATTAAATGAATATAAACTTTTTGAATTTTTTTTGTTTCTAAATGAAAGAAACTACCATTGGAAAAGTAAAAGGAAACTACCCCTGAAAGGTGAATGGTTCATAACAATCTTCACTGAAAATAACCTAAAATATTCTCTATTCTTCAGTTATAATGATAGCTGGAGGTATTACACAACTTTATTTTACAATATTTTTTTCAGTGTAGATGTGAAATTTTCTCATCTATTATTTAATGCTGCAATGTCAAATAAAGTTAGAAAGAAGCTTCAGAAAAAAAGATAAATTTGAAAAAGACTACAGTCAATGAGAAAGAAAGGGACACAAGAAGATGCCTCATGTTGCAGCAGGTGCAAAGTAAATCAAGGAGAAGAACACCATGTTTCTGGGTGGGATTTGCCATGCACATTCTCACTATGCATGCTTTCGCTTAGATTGAAATGTGCCCCCAGCTTCTACCCCAGCCCTACCCTCCAGGCCTTGGCAGCTAACCAGTGAGAGGCAGAGCCATACAGGTGTTACAGCTCTCCACAAGTCCCCCCACCCCTGCACTCTCTGGCCTCCTAGCTGTGCTGGTACCCGGTTTCACACCACAGAGGCACAGAGGGTCATAAAGGCCATTCATTGTTCTGAGTTTCAGCCTCGATTTTGATTTAATTTATATGGTTAAAGGGGAGAGATTAATAACTACCACAAACTGTCATTTTGTAAGCTGTGATTGATGCTATTGTGTTGTGAATTGTATTACTTGGGTTAAGGTGTTGTGATTGATCTAATCAGTTGTCCTTCCTGGTATAATGAAAAAGAGATTGCCTCAGAATCATTAGAGACTCAAAACCTAAAGACAAGCTATAACAGGAAGATCAAAGTATTAATTCAGGAGTTAAACCAAGGAAAGTACCAATAACAAAAATAAATAAATTAGAAGAAATTCAAGAAAGACACACCACAAATATAAGCTGTCAGCTTACCAAAGGCAAATTCTGAGGGAAATGAAGTTGAAATGACTGATAATCAATCTCCTGGACATAGCACAGGAAATAACAAAACCAGTGAATGAGGCTCTAGAAAAATTCAAAACAAAATACTTTTCTAGATAACTACAGAGATGGTGAGCAGAATGGAAGACATGATTAGAGACTCTAGAAGAGAAACAGATAAAAAAAATACAGGCATTCAGGACCATGATAGAAGCCATGAGTGACCAGCATAGGAAAGAAATGGAATCCATGAAACAGATTCAAACTGATATCCTGATTAAAAACTCTATTGAAAATATACATAACAGACTGAGCCAATATGATGACAGAATATCAGGTATAGAAGGCAGGATGGTGGTCAGTGATCATGAACAGAGGGATCACTTAAAAATAAAAAGGGAACATGAGAAATCAATCCAACAGTTCCTAGATGTTGCAAAGAAGAATAATATAAGACTGAGAGTAGTCCATGAAAAAGTAGAAAAAAGTAAAAATGACATTAAAAATTGTGCACAGAATTAATGACAGAAAACTTCCCAAACAGAGCAAAAAATTTTGACATACAGATAAGTTAGGCATATAGAACTCCAACTAGCCATGATAAAAAATCTATATATAGACACATAATAATCAAGATCCCAGAAATCCAACAGAAGAATGAAATAATACAAGCAGTTAGAGAAAAGAAGCAATCATACAAAGGAAAGCCCATCAGAATCACAGCACTTTTCAAAACAAACACTCAAGGAGAGCCTGGAGGGAGGTATTTCCACCCCTAAAAGAAAACAATTTTCAACTGAGACTGATATATCTTGCAAAACTCTCTTTCAAAATTGATGGGAAAATAAGATATTTCCATGACAAAGAACTCTTGAGAAACTTCATGAATGACAAACCAGAACTCCAAACAATTCTAAATAATATCCTAGAAAAAGACAATGAAGATCACAACCGCATGAGGCCCAACAGAGCAAATCCCATGGGCAAGGCAAAAAATTAAATGGAGAGAGAGGAAAAAATAAAAAGAGCAAACAACAGGAAAATAACATGATATTGATAAGTTAATACATATCAATTATAACTATCAATGTTAATGTTATCAATTCACCAATCAAAAGAAACAGACTGGAAGAAACATTAATTATGGGCTCCCTCTGTTCACCAATTGATTCATTGGGTCTACTGATGAGTTTGCTGGCTGATTGTGCTGTCGGAATGTGGAACCTGGTCAAAAGAGCAGGTTCCTGGAGGTTAACCTAGTGTATTTCCCTCCCCAAGACTTCCCTTTGGTCTTTGCTTCCTGCCATAATGTGAGTAGCTTTCCTCTGTGGCAGGCTCTGTTACCATGCTGTTTCTGCATTTGAGCCCACCTATCATTGCCTGAAACTTCTCAAACTGTGAGCTAAAATCAACCTCTCCTTTTTTAAGTTATGAGTGTTGGGTATTGTGTTTTAGCAATGAGAAGATGACAAAGGCAATACCCAGAAGATCTCATTTGAAACCTGCAGATAGGGAAGGGAGGCCTTGGACATACAAGACTCCAGAAAATGGCTATAACCACCTAAGTTCACCACAGAGCTGTGGCCCTCATAATCCATCTCATTCCCACTTTGAAGCCTGGCTGACTTGGGGTGTTCTTGGTCCCCCACTGTAGAAGGTATGGACTCTGTTCTAGCAAAACTATTTCCTTCTATTTTTAAAAACAGTTATAAATATGCTCTGGGTTAAATGAAACAGTTTACACATAGATTTATATATTGCTCTTTCTTAATATTAGAGAATAAACACTTTTTAATACTGATAATGATTGTAAATGCCAACATTATGACTGAAGCAGGCCTGTCCTAGAAGTGTATAGCCACTGATTTCATGTTCTGATGTTTTGTCTAGTTAGAACTTCTCAGGGCTTGCAAGTGAGCTGCTTCAGAGGTTAGCTTACCCACCCATCCCTATGGGTGCCTCCTATAGTTGGTCTAAGCATTCCCAGTTTCTGTTTTTTACCTTAATACCTTAACAGTTGTGCAAAATGACAGTCCTCTGAGTAGAGCCTGGCTCCCCAAATAATACAATGGAAGTCACAATCTGAACATTAAGTGAGGGTGTGGGAGGAAATGTTTGGCAAGTGGTTAATCTGAAGGACAGGACAGGAGGCTGGAGAACAAGGGAAGAGTTGCATTTGAGTCCCAAAGCCATCTGATGCCAGAATTTCTTCTTTTCAGGGAAGGTCAGTATTTTTTAAAATTAAGACCTTCAAGTAATGGGATGAGGCCAACCTACTTGTGGTGGGTAATATAATTTCCTCCAAGTCTACCCAATTTATTCCAATCCAAAAATACCTCTTCAGAAACATCTAGAATAATATTTGCCAAATATCTTTGTATAGTGACTTGCAATTTGACTTATGGAATTAATCATAGCAGTAGTCAACCACTGAATCAGTGATTCAGTATACCAAAGTAAAACATATCCCAAGGATGATGCCATTACTCTTATTCTATTCATTGTGATGAATTTTATAAGAAAGCATTTTCTCAACTCCTACATTTTTCATATGTGGCTTAAAAATCTGTGGTAACAATCTAAATTTGACTCAAGCCTTGGAGATCACAGTAAAGGTGATGATAGCTTTACAGCTGAATAAAATTATTTGATGTAATGAATTAATTTAGAAAAAAAATCTAGTTGGAGCACAAGCTAATGAAATACAGTGATGCTGGCTTTGTAATAGTGATTTCAAGTGTAAAGTCAAAGGAAGGGAACGACATCTTTCTAGACTATATTAGATTATTCATAACCAAATATTAGCTTTGAAAATCCAGTGTAATGATGCAGGGCGAGTCCATTCTTGTTAGTGATAAAATTGATTAAGAACTATTGTTGAATAATAGTTCATTTCAAATTGTAGTATGAAGATTCTGAATGATAAACAGAATTTGCTTGTTTCCCATAATAACATAATTTGAAAGTCCATCAGAATTTGAAAATTTCAGATTATGACTAGAAATTAAAAAAGCAAAGCTACTTTTTTATGTTAGAAATTTCTTCTGAATATGCTTTCACTCACTATGCTATGGAGGGAAAGAAATGAAAAAGAAACCTTACTCAATTTTATAT